TAGAGGGTTTCACCATGGTAAACAAACTACTCTCGCTGACAATTAATTAGTGCAATGGATCAATGAGTACTCAATTATATTGGCCTTGTGTCGGGCATAGCTGAGCTAGCCAATTCTTAGGAAACTTCATGTGCTGACCACTGATTTTAGCTGTCTTTGCTTACTATCACTGTTTTGCCCCGCTTCCCCTCCCGCTCTCTCTCTGTTTTGCCCCGCTTCCCCTCCCGCTCTCTCTCTCTGTTTTGCCCCGCTCCCCTCTCTCTCTGTTTTTTGCCCTTCCCCTCCCGCTCTCTCTCTCTCTGTTTTTGCCTCGCTTCCCCTCCGCTCTCTCTCTCTTTTTTGCCTCGCTTCCCCTCCCGCTCTCTCTCTCTCTGTTTTGCCTCGCTTCCCTCCCGCTCTCTCTCTCTGTTTTGTCTCGCTTCCCCTCCCGCTCTCTCTCTCTGTTTTTGCCTCGCTTCCCCTCCCCGCTCTCTCTCTGTGTTTTGCCTACCCTTCCCCTCCCGCTCTCTCTCTGTGTTTGCCTCGCTTCCCCTCCGCTCTCTCTCTGTGTTTTGCCTCGCTTCCCCTCCGCTCTCTCTCTCTCTGTTTTGCCTCGCTTCCCCTCCCGCTCTCTCTCTCTGTTTTGCCTCGCTTCCCCTCCCTCTCTCTCTCTGTGTTTTGCCTCGCTTCCCCACCTGCTCTCTCTCTCTGTTTTGCCTCGCTTCCCCTCCCGCTCTCTCTCTCTCTGTTTTGCCTCGCTTCCCCTCCCGCTCTCTCTCTCTCTTTTGCCTTGCTTCCCCACCCGCTCTCTCGCTCTCTGTGCTTCGCTTCCCCTCCCCTCCCGCTCTCTCTCTCTCTCCACCTGCGCTCTCTGTGCCCCTCTTTCTTTCCCCTCATTTATTATGAAAGATAGGAAGCTAAGGAACGACACGGTCACTCATGTCCCTTTAGGACATGACACACACAGTCTACTTAAATTGATTACTGTATTGATCGGAAAAAATAGCAAAGAATTTTTTAAACAAATTTTGTTGATTTGCATTCGTTCGATATTCTTCTTAACCCATGATATTTAGAATTTAAAAATATTATTTTAATCATTTTAGAACTGAGGTGTGGGTGTTCATAATATAAATACAGTTTCAAACTGATCGCTGAGTTACTTGTTCTTTGTTTTTACTTACAAATGTCAAGTTTGAAAGCCATTGATAATGGCATACTATTACAATTTGGGGTGAAAAGGCAATATCAAATGCTGTGAGTAGAGGTATGTCTAATTAATACTAATTTACAAAAATTATCCACCCCTCCAAATTATTTCCATATTTTTCTTTTTTTTACTAGCAGATCAGTCAATGTATGTAGCATTGGTAACATTTTTTTGCAATATGATTTAATAGAATGTTCTCAAGTTTATTGAATAACGGTTCAAATAGAATAGATTGCAATGTTACTTGAATAATCTTGAAAAAAAATTAAGTGCTTTTTTTTTCATTTTTTTCTTTTTTTCTGGAAAATGGTAAAGCTGTTCTTTTCTTGTTTTAGCATTGTTCTTCTAAATGACAAAAGCAGATGCCATGTGTAAATTCACTTCATTGCATTGACTCAAAAAAAAAAAGAAGGAAGATTCATCTGTGAAATTATTTTTTTTCTCTATAGTTCCCTACTGAGATAATAGGACTTAGTTTTGGTTCAGTTGGAATGCACCTCTTTTCCCTTTGAATATTTGCGGGGCCAGGGAAAGTGGTTTTCAGTGTGATGAAAATGTTAAGTACAAGTTTTGCTTGTTTAGGGTCTAAGGACATATTCTCTATCTATCTCAGAATGACTTTGGAAAAAACATTTTGTGGGCCATGACTGAAAAAAATGAAAGCAGCAGAATTTTTTTTTTTTTTTTTTGGTCCTTTGCTGCTTCAAGAGATCTGTGGAATGACTAGTTGTGGAACACTTCATTCTCATCCCTCAAACATTTCAAAGTCAATTGGTGCCCTCGTCTGATATGAATTTCTGTACTTCTCTCTTGACTTCAAAGCGTATGCAACATGATTAATACTGGAATAAAAGAGCCACACCTGCAGACAACATGATACAAAAGCCACTGTAATTTCAATAATAAAAAAAAAAGATTAACTTTTTCAGCTGTTTATATATACTTTCATACTTTTAATCTTTTTATTTAAACTTTCAATATATATTTGTATATATATAGTTAGACACTCAATAGTCATACATATATTTAGACTTTAAATTGTTAAAATTCTCTTGATGATAATATCTGTTATAATCATATCGGAATGAGTATTTATTGTATATAAAAAATCCTTACATCACAATACAGCATTTATACAAAAAATACATCCATACCACAATCACCAAAACAACATAATCAGATAGGAATGATCAGTAAAAACATCTCCTCCCAAAATTTATAGACAAATCCTCCAGAGGCATGCTGTGATTTCTCCTTTACAAATAAAAATGGACCATCTCTCAGTCTCGCCTGCAATATTTTTGTTCTTTTTTGTCTTCAAGTCAGAATGATATTACCACTTGACCGTATTCGTTTTGCACGTGAATATAATTCTTACTTTGTGGCCATTTTGTCTTATTGTTGCTTTGCCTACTTTTGATTTGAATATATATTGTTTGCTTACTATTATTTTGCCCTGTTCTTTTCTTTCTTTTCTTCTTGTTTATTGGAAACTTTAATTTTGTTTGTTGGGCATTTTTACCAATTATACTTAACCATGGCCAATTACTCTACAGATAATCTAAATAAATATACTTATCTGCATATTTTATATAGATATACTCACGAATATATATATATATATATATATATATATATATATATATATATATATATATATATATATATATATATTTTACATTTTATATAGATATATATATAGATAATATACATAACATACATACATACATATATATATATATATATATATATATATAGAGAGAGAGATATTTTATATAGATATTCTTATATTCATTTTGACTTTCAGTAAATTTATATATACCAGGATGAGATATTAAAAAGAAAAAAAAAGCACAATGTTTTGCAAAATTGGAACCTATATTTGTTACCTTCTCATAAGTAGTAATTGTTAGTTCAATCCCATGGTCGAGCAGTATGTAATTGAACTCAGTGGAAACAGTGTGAGAAATAACCACGCAGTACTATGAATAAGAAGTAGATTAGATATCCCTAGATATGGATAGTGAAATGATAAGTCTATCTCTGTAGATTAAATAAAGGGTCCATTTCGGAATTCCCTGTATGTTACACAGATCAATATACACTCTGATGAAACCTTGTGATAACAACAAAGATAAGGACAGTCATCTGAATGTAAATAGTGTAGTTGACTGGTCAATTCCAAATGATTTGGGATTGGTCATCAATTTTTAAATTTGCCATTACGGCTCTGAGTGATAGGTTTGTGAGAGAAATTATTCTTCTTTGTATGGTAAAACAAAACATATATAATATATACAAAGGATTGTTAAAAGGTTTTCAGCTTGACCCACTTTCTAAAGTAGTTAACCCAAGAACAAACTCTCATGATTGTGTATATGTGAGAGAGATTAAAGTTGGATAAAGAGACGATAGAATGGTAAATATATGACAATTTTGAAATATTTCCACTTTTATATGGTTTGCCGATATTCAGATGCCATCAGAATAAGAATTTTATTACACAAGAACTGCAAATTTAAATAATTTTTGTGGGGACAGTTCAAATTTTGATTAGAGGACATTTTAAAAATATACATATAAAAAAAATATAAAACAAAGGTGGGGAGCAAGACTAAGAAAAAAAATTTGCTCATCATAAAGTGTTTGATCAAAAAGTGATTAAGAAAATACTCCTTGCTCTCCAGAGCCAATCGCGGACAAAATATATAAATATCAGCACTAAAACTGGGGAGAAAAAAAATGATTAGTAGAGAATCACATTTTTAGTCATTGTACACATGTTTGTTTTGTCCTTGATTGGTTCTGAAGAGCAAGGATATATATATATATATATATATATATATATATATATATATATATATATATATAATATGAAAAAAATATACGGAAAAAACAAAAATCCTAATATGCAATTATGCTGTTTTAATGTTAATATAATGTTAATGTCGGATCTATATCCATATATTTGCTTATATATATATATATATATATATATATATATATATATATATATATTTTTTTTTTTTTTTTTTTTTTTTTTTTTTTGATCCACCACATTTTGGTGAGTAACTTTTTTCTTGTGTACTTCCTTCCTCTTTGTTTTATGGAGAATCCATCGTTAGATCCAACGTTCTTTTAAACAACTCTTCCACAAGGATCATCACCAATCAAACAAAGCCAAATAGTCCTAAAGCACAATCCTTTTCCTCTCAGATTCTCAAAAGTTCATATCTGCTCAGTTCTTGTTTCTGAAACATAAAGAAAGCAATTTCTAAAATAATAGATTTTTTTTATCTATTAATCCAACAGATTTTTATAACTTCAAACGTTATCATTAGTGTATACCCATATTTAAGTGTACACACCGTTTATTTTAAATAGTATATTTATTTTCATCTACTGGTCTGAAGATTTGCAAAATCTTATTAATGAAAAGGTGTTCAGTAGTCAAGAGGATTAATACCTAAGTTTTTGGTATAATATAAGTGGTCAATGATGTAATTTGTATGGGAACATCGTATAATGGAAATGACTAATTCACTGAGGAATTATGAAGCCTTGCAAGCACTTTAACGCCTCCACCGAATAAGCCTGAAATGATAACTTTGCATCATGACAATAAAAGGCCACATTACAATCAACATGGTAAAAAAAAAACAAAAAAACTTGAAATTCAGCATCATTGTTGCACGCACTCCATTACGGCATTGATTTGGCACTGTCAGACTTCTGGTTGTTCCCAAAATTGGAAGTGGCATTGAAAGGTCAACCTTTTTCATCCTATGTCAAAACTGTTATGCACAACTGCATGTTTTTTTTACTTTTTTCTCTTTTCTTCTTTTCTCCCCTTTCTTCTTTTTGTTTCCATTTCATTTTCTCTTTTCTTCTTCATTTTCTCTTTTCTTCTTCATTTTCTCTTTTCTTCTTCATTTTCTCTTTTCTTCTTCGTTTTTTTTTTTCTTCATCGTTTTTTCTTCATCGTTTTTTCTTCATCGTTTTTTCTTCATCGTTTTTTCTTCATCGTTTTTTCTTCATCGTTTTTTCTTCTTCGTTTTCTCTTCTTCGTTTTCTCTTCTTCGTTTTCTCTTTTTTCTTTTCTCTTTTCTCTTTTCTCTTTTCTCTTCTCTTTTTTTCTTTACTTTCTTTTTTCTTTACTTTCTTTTTTCTTTACTTTCTTTTTTCTTTACTTTCTTTTTTCTTTTCTTTCTTTTTTCTTTTCTTTTTTTCTTTCTTTCATGTGAGCAATGACAAGGTTTTAGAGAGAATGGCAACAAAAAGGAAACTTAGCATCAGGAAGAAGAGAGTTGAAATTTCTAGGACATGAAATGAGGAAGGAGGGCTTGGAAAATCTAATAGTCATAGGATGGATAGATGAAAAGTGAGACAGGGGAAAGCAATGCATGACATACTTAATGAGCTTGAGCAAGTAAATTGCAGAACAGGGTTTTGGGAGAAATAACAAAATGACAAAACTTATTAAGAGCTACAAGAGATAAGGTGGGTCATGATCACGTATGTCTTGAAGGGACACAAGACACTGCACATAAAAGAAGGGTAAAATAGTCTAGAGAAAGACAGCTCTTAAATTCAAAACTAGCAAATGGAAATCACTCCACCATCTTTCCAAAGAACAGGAAATACACAAGATATATTAAAAGAAATGGAAGCTGTAAAGAGCCATGATTGCCAATGATTTGAAGATGCATGTTTTGTTTTTTTTTGTTTTAATTAAAATTAAAATATCACTTGTTGATCAGGCCATATTGTAAATAGCATATTGGATAGCTTAGTTTTTAAACTTATCACTCCTGTTTAATTTTAGTCATCAGCAATGGAAGTCTTTGTATGGAAGGCAAGAGGCACTCCTTAACTAAGGTCAACAAAACCACTGACCTTTGCATTTGTGCCTCTGTAGATTGTCACTTCTGTTTCTTTTGGCTTCTTCTGCTCAGCTCCGAACTACTCTCATCTCCTGAAAAGTCACACTTTGCCACAGTTTTTAAATCACTTGTCTGTCATCTTTGATTTAATCTCGTATAGCTCCTATTCATTGAATTTTTACTTTATTTATTTTTCATTTTATTTTATTTATTTACTTTTTTGTCAGACTAAATAGCATATTTAGGATATTTTTCATACTCAGTGGTGTATACTAGGAAATTTAGAGTTGTCACCTGCAATTAAAAACTTGTAAACCATGTGTTCATATAAACACAGGCCTATGTTCTAAATTTGCACTATTTATAAGGGAAGAGGGCTTAATATTGTGTGAAGATCACATTGAGACATGAAACTGAGCGTTACCATGTAGTGTTGATTCCTATTTCCACACTGTTTCTCTATCACTCTCTCTAACATAATGTGGATTGTTTAAGTGTATTTTAATCTGGTAAAAGGCCCATTGGGATGAGCACCAAGTGATGATCAAACTTTCTCGAATAGTTGTAGATTGTGAAATATATATATATAAGGAAATATAGTCTTAAGGTATGCTATATTTATGGGATAAAATGCTCAATATCAGAGATAGAATGTATGTAAATATAAAAGTGAACATTGAAGGCAGCAATATTCTATTTTTGGCCTGATCTTGCTCTTGGAAAAGTAGAGGCTAGCATAAAGAGTCAGGTACTCACTGGAGCGATACATGGAACTATTTTTACTGCATCTTTATGCAGATGTATGAGTTCCAATTGATGCCAGGGGTGAGTTTAAGGCCCAACAGTCTCTCGAGGCATGGAGCCTCCCCTAGCGGATGTCCATTCATCATGACTGGTAATAGTTTGGGGTTTGATTGACAATGATAGAATGTAATTAGTTTGGTTTTTGAGGTATACGGAAGAGTAAAATCAGCTTTCAAAGAAAATACAGACTGTACAAATCACTGGATAGTTGCCAATTTCCTATATGGATGTGAAATGTGGACACTGTTAACAGATACAGAGAGAAGGGTCCAAGCGTTTGAGAACAAATGCATGAGAGAACTCCTTGGCATTTTCTATTTGGAACAAAAAAACAATGAGTTGTGCAGAAAAGAGTTAAAAGTTTTATGGGACACCAGGAAACTATTCTCATCACTGTCAAAAGAAAAAAAATTGTGTGATTTAGACATATTACAAGGCACAACAGCCTGTGCAAGACCATCATGCAAGACACCATTGAAGCTGGACATAGGAGAGGATGCCAATGCAAAAAATGGTTAGACAATGTCAAACAAAGGACAGGTATGACTGTACCAGAATTCCTGACGGCTGCTGTTAATAAACCATTGTGGAAAAGAGTTAGTGTGGCTTCTGCATTCGGATCCGCCCTATGATTACAAAAGTCAAGGGAATTATGATGATGAAGATTGGAAACTAAATGGAGACTGATAATTCAGATTGAGACTAGACTGAAATCTGTCTCCATTATTAACTCTGAAGTAATTTCTTCTAGCTTTGGAATATACTGAAGATATACAATTGAATTCCTACAAGATCATAACACCATAGTTTTTCTATTTATACTTGAAATGGTTAAACCATTAATGACTAATGACCTAAAATTGAGTGATGGTCACTAATTGGTTATAGGTAAAAAAAAATTATTTGTAGCAGATGTTGATGAATTTATAATACTTGATTTTTAGTTTAATTTTTTACAATTCAAGCCTAATTTTATGATGGCCTTTAATAAGTTAATTTACATTAAATCTGTAAGTTCTATGTATTTTCCTTAAAGTAAGAAATAAAGAAATATAATGAAATCTACAAGAAATAGATGCCAGCATGTGATATTGGCATTTGTATATCTCTAGAAAAGCAATGGCATGTAGCTTGCCTGGGTTTGAGAAGAGTTGGGTTGAAGCAGTTTATTTCTATTTATTTATATATATATATATATATATATATATATATATATAATAGTGTGTGTGTGTGTATATGTGAGGATGATTTTATCCATCTTATTTCCCCTCTACGACCAACCTCTTTCTGACAAGAATTTTATCATTAAAGATGTGTTTATGCAGATCTCAACACTTGGGGAAATATTTACATGCTCCAAACCCCTTGCATTCAGTTTTGTTTTACCTTTTCCTTGGCACCTAATTCTGTTCTACTTAAACAGGACACACACACACACACACACACACACATATATATATGAGAAGGAGAAACCCCTACAATAAATATACAACAGAGACTATTTTATCTTATGCACTGTTTTTACTAAATCAGTAACGAAACAATGTTGAAGATGTAATATTTGTTTTTTCTCCATTTTTCCCTGCTTTTTATTTTTATTTTTCCTGTTCCCCCCTCTTTATTTGTTTTTCTCTTTTTTTCCTTTTTCTTCTCCTTTTCTTTATCTTTTCTTCTTTTTCTTTTCTTTATCTTTTCTTCTTTTTCTTTTCTTTATCTTTTCTTCTTTTTCTTTTCTTTATCTTTTCTTTTTCTTTTCTTTATCTTTTCTTCTTTTCTTCATCTTTTCTCCTTTTCTTCTTTCTTCTCCTTTTCTTCTTTCTTCTCCTTTTCTTCTTTCTTCTCCTTTTCTTCTTTCTTCTCCTTTTCTTCTTTCTTCTTTTTTCTCTTTCTTTTTTCTCTTTCTTTTTTCTCTTTCTTTTCTCTTTCTTTTCTCTCTTTCTTTTCTCTTTCTTTTTTCTTTCTTTTTTCTCTTTCTTTTTCTCTTTCTTTTCTCTTTTCTTTTTTTTTCTTTTTTTTTTTCTTTTTTCTTTCTTTTTTCTTTTTTTTTTCTCTTTCTTCTTTTTTTCTTTTTCTTTTTCTTTTTTCTTTTTTTTTTTTTTTTCTTTTTTCTTTTTTTCTTTTTTTCTTTTTTCCTTTTTCCTTTTTCTTTTTTCTTTTTTCCTTTTTCTTTTTTCTTTTTTCTTCTTTCTTTTTTTCTTTTTTCTTTCTTTTTTCTTTTTCTTTGCTAATGTCTTAAAGGGACATTGCAAATCATGAATCTCCAAAATTTCTTGCACTTTGAAAGTCTTAATAAATTCTGTCTTTTTGTTATTACTTTCAGATATTTGAATTGTTGTACTTGGTTGATTTTGATATTATCCAATTAGCAATTTTTGGTGTTGATCTTTGGATTGTTCTTGTTGCCTTTGACAAGTTTCTTGAAACGACAGTGTTCTTTTCCTCTTTGGATGATTTTAACGGTGTGGACATTACTGAACTTCTTGACAATACTTTGAACTGTTGGACCTGACACTTGAAATAACTTGAATGTTGCTTTGCCATTACAAGCAGTCAATCATTAACAAGAGATACTCACTATGTTCTCTAATCTTAATGTTGGTGGCATCTGGTTGGCATAAAATGGCCCATCAGTGTTGACATGCTGTTAACCAAAATCTAACCAAAACTTAATGATGGTGCCTGATTTCCTTTTGTTTAGAAATGACAAATATTTCAAATACTAATTTCTATTTAACTTTAGTCCCAAAGTACAACTTTACAAACTGTATTTACAATTCAATAGAAGTACCCATGAAAATTTCATGGCTTTCCTATTTCAATTTTTTTTATTAATCTTAAGTTAATGATTGAACAAGCCCATGGCAATTTCCACAACAATAAAATATCAGTAGAAATTCCCATGTCATATTGTTAAATATTTGAGCTTAACTTTCACAAAATATTACAATCACAATCATAAATATGAATGCTGGGTGTCAGTTTAAGAAGTAAGAGGGTACAAATAAAAAGATTTGAAACTTTCTTCCATTACAGTACTGAAAGATGTTAAATACATGGATGTTATTGCCTCTTTTAGCTTCTCTTCTTTCTTTCTTTTGCTGGAACCAAGTAGCCTTTCTGATATGTCTTTTCCATCTTTCCATGCAATCAAAACAGAATGTCCATTATTTATGAGGTATTGGCAGAGTGTAATGTATATACATGATATCCCAATAAATACCTATAAAAATAAAATTTATCTGGACATATCTTCACATACACAAAAAAAATCTATATAAATATATCTCGATGTATAGTAATATTAACAAAAATATCAGTAATCTAGCTACCAAAAACAAAATCTTGCTACAAAAAAACATTTTTTTTATGACAGCTGCATTTAAACAGAAAATATTTTGTAATAAATGTGGACAAACAATTCAGTTTTGTAATTTGATATTCCTGCCATTAGCAAAGCAACAATTACCGAAATAAAGAGTTAAGTAAACATCATTCAGTAAATGGTACGGGTAATGTATTGTGTAGAGGAAGAATGGATAGAAACTGAAGCCAATTTACGAATAATAAAACAGATTTAAAATTAAACCTTGAGGCGAAAAGGTGACAGATTCCACAAAAAAATATTTTGGTATATAAAAAAAAAAAAAAAAACAACAAATTCCCCCTCGCTGTCTCCTATAGTTGACTGACAAATCTGCTGAGGATTGGATGAAAAATTCTATGGAACCAATTGAAAAAAAGTGAACTGTTTTATTTTAATAATTCTATCCCTATATATCTCTATCTCTCTCATATATATATATATATATATATATATATATATATATACACACACACACACAGTGTGGAGAAAGAAATCACATTTTTATCAACAAACTTTGTGTTTGTGTGTGTGTGTGAAATTCTAATTAAATGTTATTCTTAGGTTATGACCTTCCTAATTCATTTTACATATACATACATATATATATATATATATATATTTGTGGTGGGGCATAACTCATATGGTGCCTGGTTGGGTGGGGAGACAAACGCTACCAAAATGTAAACAAGAACAGATATTATTTATTTTCAAAAAATTTCGTTTTCTGCTCTGAAAATTAGCATTTCTCCAACGAATTTTATACCAAAATATTTTTCGAGGAATCTGTCACCTTTTCGCCTCGAGGTTTAATTTTAAATCAGTTTTATTATTCATGAATTGGTTTCAGTTTCTATCTGTTTTCCCTCAACACAATATATTGCCGCTTACAGAATTTATGTTTAGTTTACTTAACTCTTTATTTCGGTAATTGTCGTTTCGCTAACGGCAGGAAGATCAAATTACAAAACTGAATTGTTTGTTGATTTAAAAGTCTACATCTATTTGAAAATATATTCAGTTTAAAATGCAGGCGTCATTAAAAAGAAAAAAAAAGGTTTTCAAAGGGCTGCACTGTTTTCCTGTTAACCAGAGATTGTTAGCAGACAGGATATTGGTCGCAATACAGATATCCATTTTCTCAAATTGCGTGTGCGCATGTGTGTGTTGACTTGCGTGTGCGCATGTGTGTGTTGACTTGCGTGTGCGCATGTGTGTGTTGACTTGCGTGTGCGCATGTGTGTGTTGACTTGCGTGTGCGCATGTGTGTGTTGACTTGCGTGTGCGCATGTGTGTGTTGACTTGCGTGTGCGCATGTGTGTGTTGACTTGCGTGTGCGCATGTGTGTGTTGACTTGCGTGTGCGCATGTGTGTGTTGACTTGCGTGTGCGCATGTGTGTTTTAAATTTAACAGAACTGAAAACAATTCTACGAAAACAAAAATTTTACAAATAATTCTATTTATTTCCGACTAATTGCCAAAAGATTCAAATGCCATAGAGACTAAGAATTGGTCTTTTTGTTTAGTTCTTGGTTCCAATAAAAAATCGAAATAATAGGGCTGAAGTATATCCCCCACAAAAAAAAAACTTCCTTATAGTGCCGTGTATAAACAGCTCTTACTTTTTTGAAGGTCTAACTCTAAAAAAGGTATTCATAAAGTATTGATGCCGCCAAAAAGTTAAGCCAACTGTTTAATTTGAAAATATCCTACCTTGAAGATATGAGATAAGTGAGATGTCTTTGAGAATAAACAGAATTTTATGGGGTGGGGTTCAGGAGTAAGGATGACATCGAAATGGTTAGCTAACAAACACTAGCAGCATTGTTATTTTAATTTTTATTATTACCTCATGGCAGTGTGGTCGAGATGGTAGCAGATACTTTTTTTTCTTTTTCATGCTTGTCTTTTTTTCTTTTTTCTTTTTTTTTTTACCTAACCCATCCAGAGTCATCTCCAAGTCCCTGCGTGTAAAAGAGATATAGAATTCCAACACCCACGTCCCCCTTCCCCCCTTCATTCTCTTTTTTATCTATCTATCTATCCCACCCTTCCACTACACAGCTAGAATGGTTATTTATTTATTTATTTATTTTCATGATTGGGGGCAGTTGTCTTCTTTGTTATTTTGCTTTCTTTTTTTTTTCTTCCTTTATTTTGTGGTGTTTTTTTCTTTGTGTGTGTGTGTCTTACGCTTTCCTTTTTTCTGTTTTTGTTTTTGTTTCTTCTTTATGAGGCCAACAACGAAAGAAGTTGTTGTCTCCTGTCTTTCGGTATTTTTTTCTCTTTCTCTTTCTCTTCATCTTCATCCTAAAGTGTCTTTCATAAACCAGAAGCAAGTTGCGTTCCAATTTGTGATCATTAGACATATATATTTTATTTCTCTCTCGCTCTCTCTCTCTCTCTCTCTCTCTATATATATATATATATATATATATATATATATATATATATATTTGTGTGTGTCTTTCTTTACGTACCCACATAGGCACACGCACTTTGACTGCTGCTGGTTCTAAATGCTATTGCCGCTTTTTGAAAGTGAAGCAGGAAGATGGAGGGCAAGTTCTTGTAGTTAAGTGGAGCGGAGGAGTATTTTGGTGTATTTTTGCTTTTTATTTTTATTATTACTTTTTATTTTATTCCTCTAGTGTTACCCTCCTAATTCACCATCCCTCCGCCGCCTTCTCCCCTCTCTCGGAAGAAACAGTTCTTTTTTTTTTTTTTTTTTTTTCTCCGACGAAACGTACTATGTCAACGTATAGTCAAATAGTCAGTCCTCCTGTTCGGTTCGGATGCTTAGGTAGCAACGGTACAAAAAAGGAGGGGGACAAGTTTTGGGCATGGCACCTACATCAACAAAGACTGGAAATTGTTCCATGCAAATTCGATTATTAAAAGGTGTGGCTCGCAGAAAGAGACAGAGAGAGAAAAACATGAAGTTGGAATCAAGTTGTGATTGATTATTTTTTTTTTTTTTTTTCGTGGGGAGTGAGGAAAAAAAGGACACAAAATATCAGTCATAAAGGGAAATACGATTGACAAAAAGAAAAAAAATGCTGTGATGTTTCACTGTTTCAGGGAGAGAAAAAAATGAAATGAGATTTACTATTTGTTTTTGTTCCACAACAAAGTCAAACTTTTGGAAAATTCTGAATTCTTAATAATTCCTTTCTCTACGGATCGATACCGGATTCTTTCTTTCTTTCCTTTTTTTTTTTTTTTCCTCCCTTTTTTTTTATTTTTTGAGCAAAATTTCTAGAAAGGAAAAGTCCGTTTTGTAAAAAAAACATTTTCCCATTGTCTTTTTTTTTCTTTTTTGTTATATAACGGTAACATTTCTAAATCCTGTTCTTCCAATACATCTCACAAAAAAGGAATTAAACGAAAGTGAACTTTGTTTTAAATAATTGCATTTTAAATGGCAAAAGCAAACATGTTGGTATCTTTTGAAGCTTCTTACCAGTGGTACCGTTCTTTTAGTGAACGTGTACGAAAATGTGGGGAAAATTACACTGGCAAGTTCAGACGACAACGACAGCACAAACTTGCAGGTAATAATTTTTCATTTTATTTTATTGTTTACGCGTCGGAAATGTTTTGTTTTAGGATAATCTTTAATGTAAAAAAAAGTTTGGAGTGTTTTATCCTGGTCACGTTCCTTTCTCAGGGCTCGGAACATACGCAATAGCATGCATCACATGCATCTTAAAAGACAACTGTGTAAAAAAAAATAAAAATAAAAAGACATTTTTAAATAACAATGCTTAAAGCAACAAGAAGAGTAAGAAGACCTTTGAAAATGGTTAGAATTAGCCAACAAAAAAAAGGCGCTTGGAACAATAGACACCACAGACAATTTTTACACTCCTTTACCCCGAATAAACGAAAAGATTTTTTTTAAGAATAACAGAAAAACTCAAAAGTTTATAAAATTTTCCTTGTCTCTCATTCAACGAAACATTTTTGACAGAAAGGTCGCTACCCACCCACATTAGTGATTATTCATAGTTATTTAATAATAACATGGTTCTGTTATACATCAAACACTACACCAGCACTCAGTGAGTGATAATATACTTATATATATATATATATATATATATTCTCCATTTATGTGTGTGTTACTGTTAGTTACAGCATGTGTTCAGTTGTCACCCAACGAACTTTCCGCTTCACTCCCACAACTAAATCCTTCTTCGCCCTTAATTTAACCCGAGTTTGCTTGGATGCATTGTTGACATTTTCTCTTGAAAGGGTCAACAAACTCCTCCTTCAAGATCTTCAGTTGCTAACCCTGATTGTTTTCCAGATAACCACGGAGAAGAACAATCAATTGTTGGGAGTGAAGAGTGAATATTTACTTTTCTCATCCCCCAATATTTCCCCCCTCTCTCACTCTTGCTAGTCGTTTTTATTGTTAAATGTTTATTGTTTTGGATTTACTGGGGTGGAGTGCACGTGTTTGTGTCCTCCAGATATATTTATTTACCCGACCTCGCCACTAAAGCAAAATGTGACACAAGGTCGTTTTAACGTAGGGAGCGCCGTGCACCTACGTTTGCATATTAAAAAAAATGGGTAGATTCAGCTCTTATGCTTATTGTGATAATGATTTTAGCCTTAGGGTGTTGTTGGTAGTATCGCTTTCCTTAACCAACTACATTAATGGAGAAATGTTTCTCCTCTCTTAGGGGGTTCGTTGAAGGAATCTGTGGTTATGTTCTGTGGTTGCTGTCCTCTTAAGACAGCATTAGCTCAATTTACCACAGATACTTGTTAATTTTTATTTCCTGGATTTAATTAGTGCTTTTATTTTTAAAATTTACGAGCACTCTGTTTAGAGGCCCCGCAACAAATTTCTTCAGAGATGGTTACCTTGGTCAGTTAGCTGACAGTGACTGCCTATAAAACTGACCGCAACTTGACAAAAACACCTATCACATTTTTGTCTTTCATATATCATTGTGGGTAATCTGAATGACTCGTAGATATGACATTTACCTGAGTACACCTGTCTTTTTATTACGGATTTTTATTTTTAACAATCAGCACCTGGAAAGTTTCTCGAAGTAGAGAAAGTTGGAATTTCATAACACGTGCGTTGGAACCAACCATCCTCTTATACCCATTCTCTTCATTCTGGAATGAAAGAAATTAATAGAACTCATTAACTTTGGAATTCTACAAAATAATTAACTTTTTTTTTCATTTCCTTTTGTTAAGTTGTGACTTAAATCCCCTTTCCCCCAACTCTTTCTCGGCTTGTTTTATAGTCTGTCTTTTGAAAGGAATGCGTTTTCTCTCCTAGGAATAAGTCTTAAATTTCAGAAATAAACTTTTTTTTCCTGTGGCTATTTCAAGATGCCAGAAAGATTTCAATTCAATCGGAAACGTTGTCGTCAACCCATTTATTCGCTGTAAAATATTAGTATATTCAGTAGTAATTATTAATTGTATAAATTAATCGATATTAAATATTAATTATTGGTTTCTAAAAAAAAATTATTATGAGGTGTGTACTAATAATTTACTAATATACCTACGTATGCGCTTTGCCCTTAAAAATAAGATTACAAAAATATAAACGTTTCGTAAAAATATGCAAAAAAAAATCTTTATCAATGATAAAGATATCATTCAGTCGGTAAATTATAGGTTTCTTTAGAAAAAAATTCGATTTATAAGTTTCTATAAAAAAAAAAATTATAGTTTCTAAAATAGCGATATGTTTCCATTTAAAAAAAAAATCTGATATTTTATAACGATGTTTCATTAATTACAGATTTCTACTTATTCATCCCCACTCTCAAAACTGGGACGGTGGATATTAAGTTAAAAAAAAGGTGCCTACAAAAATACTTTACATTTTATGAGCTGCTATGTGATTTGTTGTTTTTATTATTTATGAACTTTGTAAAGATAGACATTTTTATGGAAGAATAAATGCTACAGTAAAATTTCAAAAGAAAAAAACATTACCCAATTTGAACCATATGTTCAAAGTTCAATAAGTGTAAATGTCCAGAAACAAAAAGTTGTATTTATTAAATTATAATCAGGTACGTTTTCACGCACATTTCTCAGGATGAAACACAAATAAATATTTAAAAGATTACTTTGTTTAAATTCATAAAAAGTTAACTTTTTATGAATTTAAAGTAATAAATATTAACTAATCTTTTAATTTTAAATATTTGTGTTTCATCCTGAGAAATGTGCGTGAAAAAATGTACCGGATTATAATCTGCAACCTGCAATGGGGTGCTAAAACGAAAAGTTATCGGACAGACCAAGAAGAGCTTTTATTTTTCTTGGTCTGTCCGATAACGTTTAAAAATCAGATCAAATGACATTTTTTTTTTTAAATGTCATTTGATCTGGTTTTGATAATTGGACCTCAATCGGGAGTTGCTATTTATTTATTAGCAAAAGGTGAGGTGACCGTCAGGCAACACCTCTCCCTCGGGAGGGAGCTAGGGTTTATCTATGGCGACACCAAAGGGGAAGTACCAAGGAGGCTTGAGCAATGTTTTTACTCTTGGCCTACGCACGCGTCAGTCCCCACTGTAAAATTGACCTTGTGTCACATTTTGTATGGAAGGCGTATAGATACATTTCTTATGTCTGTTCCTTCTCGTACGCCAATCCTGGAAAACTGCTTTCATTTTTTATTAATTGGAGTCTTTTTTAACAACTGAACTAAATGTGACTCTTACAGGTGGATGCCGAGAATACTATGGCCTGAAGAACTCATGAACAACGCCCAAGGAACTTTTAAGTTTAATTCAAACACTAAAATGTCACTTTGAGACATTAATGTCCATTTTGCTTTATAAGAAAGATCGTTTTCTCCCGCGTACTTCACGAATCTATGGGTCCGTTCTTTTTTTTTTTTTTTTTTTTTTTTTTTTTTTGCTATAGAAACCCACTGTAAATCGATTCTATCTCTAAAAAAAGTTTTCTAACAATGCTAGTGTTTCATATTCGATTGTTATAGTCAGGGAATCTTATGCAATAAGACCCGACTTTATGTAAAGAAAACCGTAACAAGGTTGTTTTAAGTTT